AGTGATTCAAGCAGCTCCAGTGATTCTAGTGATTCAAGCAGCTCCAGTGATTCCAGCAGCTCCAGTGACTCCAGTGATTCAAGCAGCTCCAGTGATTCCAGTGATTCCAAAAGTTCTAGTGATTCCAGTGGCTCAAGCAGCTCCAGTGCCTCTAGTGAGTCAAGCAGCTCCAGTGACTCCAGTGATTCTAGTGACTCTTCTAGCAGCTCCAGTAGCTCCAGTGATTCCAGCAATTCCAACAGCTCCAGCAATTCAAATGATTCCAGTGACTCTAGTGATTCTGGTGATTCTTCTGAGTCCAGTAGCTCCAGTGCTTCCAATAGTTCAAGTGCTTCCAACAGCTCCAGTGCTTCCAATGGCTCAGATGATTCTAATAGCAGCTCCAGTGATTCTGGCAATTCTAGTAATTCCAGCGGTTCAAAATAAACTATTTGAGAGGCAAAACAGTAGGAAAAAAGCCAAACGTATGAATATAATAAGTCAAAATGGTAGCATTGTTGGCAAAAGTGTGAATAGTACATTTCACTCTTGTTTTGATAATCGCTTCACTGTATTAGGCCGGGAAGTTCAATGAAGTAACAAATTCTTAAACCTTTTTATGCAACACTCGGTGTCTATTTTGGCTGCTCTACTGACCTCACTATTAGAAAAAAGATAACTATCCATGAAAAGAAATATTCATAATTACAATAAAATACAGAGTTCTAAAAAAGATCCAAAAAACCACTACAATCCCTAAACAATGTTCAGATTTCTCCAGTAATAAAAAAAAGAACCTTTGCAACTGGTTCCAAACTATTTTGTGAGCCAAGGGTGCACTTTGAATTAATAACAATATTCTTTTTCCAGACATCCATTTGGAAACTAGAGTTCTACATGTGTACATATGTGAATACAGCTCCTCATGATTCTTTGAGGAGAGTCACAATATTTAAGGTAGGCTAAAACCAATTGCTTGTTCACCCTTTGCTCTCACTGTCACAATGTGCATTCATTTTTTAAAAAATGATGTCTGACTTGGCCTAATATGTGAGGCCAGCCAGCCTTTTGGGATGTATAGCTTCAACAACTGTACAAACACAAATGTAGCACAATGTGTAGATTTGACAATTATAAATATAGGTGCACTGTCCTAAATTGCAGAACGAAAATTGCTCTCAAGTAGATCATGCATTACCAGATCTATAGGGACACATAATTAAGCATTGAAAAAAATGTTACAGGCAGAAAGTGATGTACAGTCAAAATGGAGAACGGTGGGGCCAACTCTACCCATCTCATGTTCTCTAGATGTCTCTAAACTACAATTGCTAAACTTCTCAGCTCTCTGGCTAGGAATTCCGGTAAATACAGTCCTAACTCATGCAGAGGGCACTTAGTTGAGGAAAGTTAGAGTAAATAAACCTTTCTTTCTTGTGTTCTCTGTGATTTTTCCCTCTCTTTTTTTGACATTTGTTTTCTTTTCTAATTTGGGGGATTGTGGCTTCTTATTATAGAACTAGGGTGTGGAATCTTGACAGCACCACAAAGCTAGTGTGTCAAGGTTCTTTAAAGCTCAGACTATGCTGTAAATGTGCTGGCAGAACAAGGTCCAACATCTCTTCCAACTTGCTTAAGACGTATTATAGCAATATTGTTAAAGATAAAGCAATATCCTATCAAATCTTGGACACATTATAGACCAGGGGTGTCAAACTCGAATTCATTGAGGGCCACTTCAGGGTTGTGTTTGACCCCTGGGGGCATGGTCAGCCCAACATCCCTCACCGAGGCTGTTTTTGGCCACGACAGCCTCCTGCAGCCCTCTGCCAGCGAAAACAGAGCTTGGGAAGGCTGTGTGCGTTCTGCCCGAGGTCTATTTTCAGCCACAATGGCCTCCTGCAGCCTTCTGCCATTGAAAACAGAGTCTGGGTAAACCATGCACGTCTTCTCCAAGCTCCGTTTTCATTGGTAGAGTGTTGCAGGAGGCCGTTGCGGCCGAAAACAGATTCTGGGAGGGCCCCGTGTGGCCCTCCCAATCTCCATTTTCACTGGCAAAGGCACCATGGGCCAATCCTTTGCTGTTTCCAGGGCAGGCCCACTGACCAGATCTAAGCATCCTTATGGGCCGGATTTGGCCCACGGGCCTTGAGTTTGACACCCCTGTTATAGACTATAAGGAGTAACCAGCTATCTTAAGTACCTGCTAATCATTGCATTATAAGTAGTCCTTGAATTACAATCATTCATTTAATGACTGCTTAAAGTTACAACAGTATTGAAGAAAGTGATTTACAACTGGTCCTTGCATTTACAACTGTCACAGCATCCCTGTGGCCATGTGATCAAAATTTGGGCATTTGACAATTGGCATGTATGGCGTTGGATGGTTGCAGCATCCTAAGGTCACCTGATTGCCATTTGCAATCTTTTCAGCCAGTTTCCAACCAGCAGAGTCATCGGGGGAATCCAGATTTGCTTAGTGACTGTGCAATTCACTTAGTGACAGTGATTCGCTTAACGAGTGTGGCATAAAAGGATGCAAAACTGAGCGAGACCCACTTAACGACTGTCTCACTTAATGACATAAATTCTAGTCTCAATTCTCATTGTTAGCTGAGGGCTACTTATACAGTGAAATCCCAGCTAAGATGAAACACAAATTAATCACACTGAAACACTGTAAAAGTCAAAACAAATCATAAGCTACACACTGAAAGGATACTCGACTAGAAAAATGACCCAGGATACAGTTAAGTTGACCAATAGGTCACAGAGTGGGGGCAAAATTCCTTTAAAAAAAGGGGGGGAACTAAAAGAGGGCAAGATGAAGGATTTCTAAATTACAAAGTTCTGCAAAATCATGAAGAAAAGACGTTTCTGTCTCTGTTCCCAGTACAGAACATCCAATGGAAATGCTTAGTGGAAAAGAAACAATTTTATCACCTGGTGCACAATTCTAGAACTCTTTAAATGGGGATCAGAAGTCTATCATTCATTATTAAGCATGGTAAGAAAATAAAATATTTAACCTATGAGGAAATACATCAACTACAAACCATCCATAATATACTGTATCACCAAATACCATCAGTATTGTGAACTTGGAAATATTACAGTGTTGATTTGCTAGAGGTTTTGAGTTGATTCTCATCGAAGGATTCTAACTTGGATTTCGCTGTTCCAGCATAAATGCTATTCTGATACAATGGCTGTTTCAGGAGTAGCTTTACAGAGGGAACTGCAATCTCATACATCTGGAGGACACTAAATTAGAGAATGCTGGTCTTATACAGAAGAATGAATTTTGATCACTAACTCCTTATCTTTCCTGTCCTAAAATTCACACTAAAATGCTTACCTTCAAGCTAACCAGAATTTGTACATTTTCAGCCTGGAATGTAGCTACATGCAGAGTACATGAATATACTCTGAAGGAGCTAAAAATGGTCTGATTTCTGGGAATGTCACCAGTGGCACAATGGTTTGGCAACTTTTGTGAGTCCAAAGATATTTTTACATCATCTGATCTTAACTATTATTGGAAAGATCCAAGCTGGATTTTTGTCTGGGTTTTTCTCTAACTGTTAGCTTTGCTGTACATTTCACTCCATAATCCATCCCTTCCCAGTCCCAAAGTTTTTGTTAGGATTAAGCAATTAATTAAAACAAAACTGGCTCAGAAGCATATAAAGATAATGAGCTTAAAAGTAGATACACTAAGCTAGGGCTATAGACCCTCACCAATGCAAAGTTGATTACAATTTTGGGGAGATATAGTCCGGTAAGATCTGGAGGGCCACGGGTTTTTCATTTTTGTATTAAAAGAGTACATTTATTATTTAAACTCAGCAAAATCAACGAGACTATTTCATTTCAGTAACTGTGGCCACGACTAGTTTGTTTCATTATAGACTGTAATGTGCTTGAACTAGTTTCTTTCATTATCAAATGTAGTAAGTTAAATAAGTCACTTGTTCTTGCAAAATTGATAAGTTACTTCCACATTTTTATTAATGTTATCTTTACTGGTGAATCTTTTATGTAACGGTGACTTTTACCATAGGGTTGTTACAAGAAAGTTTCACTGGATGTAAGTAAAACTCAGTGCAATAAACTTACTTATTTGCCAATATTTTTGAAGTATCTGAATTTAGCAACTTACATCCCAAAGGCAACAAAATACTAGCTCATGATGCTTACAGAATACTACCATTTGTAAATTTATAAATGACGCAACACATTGGATAAGATAGTGAAATGGACTTTCATTTGAGCTCCTATTGCCACTGCTAAATTAAAGTGCTACCTAGCCATTCTATGGTTTGCAGGAAACTATACTCCTATGAAATTGGCCATCCCAGATGCTGACTTTGTCTCCATCATCTCAGGTATTGCTAGTCACCTGATTTTCCTCCAACATAATGAGTGACAAAACCTAGCCAATTTAAAGTGTTTTAAAGCTGTCCTTGTATGCACAGCAACAGATTAAACCCTTGGTAAATGGGGAGAATAACAGAGTTGGAAGGGACCTTGGAGGTCTTCTAGTCCAACCCCTTACTCAAGCAGGAAACCCTATATCATTTCTGACAAATGGTTTTCCAATCTTTTCTTTAAAACCTCCAGTGTTGGGGCACCCACAATTTCTGGAGGCAAGTCATTTCACTGATTAATTGTTCTACTTGTCAGGAAATTTCTTCTTAGTTCTAGGTCAAACTTGACAGCTTTAAGACTTATGGACTCCCAGAATTCCTCCTCCAGTCATGTTAGCTCAGGAATTCTGGGAGGTGAAGTCCACAAGTCTTAAACTTGCCAAGTTTGAAGACCCTTGTTCTGGGTTGTTTCTCTCCTTGATTAGTTTCCACCCATTGCTTCGTGTCCTGCCTTCAGGTGCTTTGGAGAATTGCTTGACTCCCTCTTCTTGGTGGCAACCCCTGAGATATTGGAACACTGCTATCATGTCACCCACTAGCTTTTCTTTTCATCAAACTAGACATACTGTCAGGATTCCGGCAGTTACTCCAATTAAATCATGAGCCTCAAGCCACACTCCCAAGACTAAAGATGATTTATTAGAAGTTAATATTCCGGCATTTGCCAGGGTGTAGCCAACTCTGAGATACGTAATTCACTGTCACCATTGACCCTGCTTTTCCTCCCACCCCTCTGGGTGTATCATCCAATGAAAAACATCCATAGCCAAGAGTCATCAATCATGCTCTCCAATTAGATTTTTTCAGGCAGAAGCTTCAGTCATCTAATCAATCTTTGAAGAAAATATGAGTGGAATGTACTTTCGATTCCACACTCCTGCCTGCTCTTTGAAACTCCCACCCCTTCTTTCTGTTGACAACTATAAAACGTGTATACAAAATGTTTTATGAGTTGACACATACCCAATTCCTGCAACGATTCTTTATATATTTTAGCCTCCAGTCCCCTAATCA